ATCGGCTTCCTTGACACTTTGGCAAGTATAAGTTTCACCTCTACTTTCTACTTACATAGGTTCATAGTATTTAGAGTTTGATTTTCTTGACATTAGGGCTACCGAGATCTCTTTGGACAACGCAATTTACAAGTTGCTAACAAGGGATCTCTGGTTGTTTTGGGTTGACTTCCTTCACGACCAAGTAGACCTAATGTTCTAATAGCCTAGAATTATGTATCCATGTTATTCTGACTCGGTGATATCTACCTGATTAGGATTACTCCCTTTGATATACCCACTTTTAGTCATGTCGCTTCTTTTGTTACTTCATTAATGTAGTCTAGTAGACCCCGACTGCGAATAGGCCGCCACCTATTCTGACTATGGTAATTCATCTTCTACTATCGTAACTCGGTTAGGCCTAAAAGCATAGTGTGGATCCTACGGGACAACTCAGCTATTTCATATGCTTTGTTCGTCAATAAGCCATTATCTATTTGGGATCGTGAAAGACTTACTTTTTGTCATGTGGCTTAGCAAGAGTTTTGACAAGCGTACCTTTTTTAGCAAAAGCAATTCAAGCATGTAATTATAGAACCTCATTCATTGTATGCATAAGTCTCAAAATGATATATTTTATCTCATCGAACAATTATCTTATAATTTGATTATGTTGCAGTCTACCACCCTTGGTATCGTATGCATGTTGAGGCTAATTAGCTTGAGCACATCCATACCACACCCTCTCATTATTAGGTTAGAATTTCACATTGACTACAACCAACATTACCTTATTAACTCTGTCAATTCAAACCATTTTCCTTCTAGGACATAAGCATCTTATATTCAATTGACATCCATTAGAAAATTGTCCCAACCTTACTTCATTGAAGTTCTACATAATTATTTTGATATGAGTTATAATGTCATATACAAGAGGATTTTTGGTTGAGATATATAAATTAATGTAACAAGCCAGCCCCATGTAATTCATACATTAGAGATAACCACATGAAGATGAATATATAATGATGAATTTATCCTTAATTACTATTTTTAAATGTCATAAATCCATATTCTATCAATCTAATTTTTAATTTATTTATTAATACAATAGATAGCTATTAAAATAGACAAATTATAAATAGTAATTAAGATTAAAATATAGTATAGTTATATGGTTATAGAGTTTATAAGTTCAAATATTTGATATATATATATTTAGTCGTGTTCCTATTTAGGTTGAGGCCATTACTTATTGGCTATGATAATGTATTTATCATTTAATTTATTATGTGATGGCCAAAAAAGAAAACTTTAACCATTTTGATTTAATAAATATTTTTAGGAAAAAATAAATAACTACAAATAACTCTTAAGAAGTCATATCCAATGAAAAATTATTCTATAAGGACAGCATATGCAGAAATGCATATGCTGTCAGATCTCTATCGTTCATCAGGGTAAATATGTATTTCGGTGGGTCTCACTTTTATTATTATTTTTTTTTAAATTATAGACGGTAGAGATCAGATAGCATATGAAATAAATTTTCATATCCAACACCCATGATT